CCAACTATGTGGGATTCACAGGCTGTGCAGACAGATCCTGGGATAGAAAGGCAACAACTTGAAACTGTTGTTTGATTTTGTTTTAAGATTTAATTCTGTATTAGTATAATCTTTTATTCCAGTTTATCAAGAGAAATCAAAATTCCAAAAAATAAATAAACTTTCATTTTCAAAATAGTCACTTTGGTGACTCAACCAGTTTATTACAATTCCAGAATCTGAATTTTAAAATCCTAGTTTTCTAAGGGTTTCCTGCAGACTCGTCTTCTTAATCGAAAGCTCCTTCTGAAGCAGTACTCCCTGGTGGATTGAAGCCTCTGCAACTTCCAAAGCTGGCCTGGAGGCTGAAACCATGGTCTGCACAAGGAAGGTGGCCTTAGTCTTGGAGCTCAGTCCAGCACCCAGCTTGCGCTGTACCTCCCTGCGTTCTGCCAGCTGCTTTTGAAGCTCCTCAATCTGCTTCTCCAGCCTATCTGCAGTAGCCTTGGCCTCTTTGTACCCCGCGACCATCTGATCCAGTTCTGCCTTCTGTTTTGCATAATCAGCCAAGTTGGCGTCATGAGTTGTCTTGCAGAGTTCAGAAGTCTCGAAGGTAGGCTTGAGATCCTCATAGCGATCGTGAAGGTTAAGCACATCTCTGGCCAGGTTCAGACTTATCTCAAGAATTGGCTTAGGAGCCATGTTCTGCCTGTGCAGCAGGTCCAGATCTTTCATCAGTTGTTCTACAGCTTCCCTATTTTCCTCCAGTTCCAGCTCAGTAGATTGCCAGACCTTCACCCTCTCCATGGCCTCATCCACTGCTTTGAATTTGGTCTTGTTAGGGGTAGAACTGAGTTTCTCCAGCCTGTCCAGTTGGGCGTCCAAGTCCATAGCCTCGAATTCAGCCAATTCTGGGTCAGCAAAGGAGGCTGTGATGGTTGAAACAGCACGGGATTGGACAGGCATCTGCAAAATCAAAATTGTGGATTAGAAAAGGGCAGAAATAAAAGAAAAATTCATGATATGATGAATACGTACAGCTGCGAGAACAGGCTTCAAAGGACTGATCACCACTGCCACGGCTCCTGCAATTCCGGCCACTTCCAACTAAAAAGAATAAGATGTAAAAGGAAACAAGGACAGGATAAAGTGCGAAGGATGGACAGAAATAAAAGAACAAAGACTTACCATGGCTTCAGAAACAGTAGCAGTTAAATCTGCTGCAGATTCTGGGGTTGCAACAGGAAGCTCCACCTCCTCCACAGGCCCCGGGGCAAATGTTCTGCCAGGCCTGCAACTAGAAGTTCTGCCTGTTCCACAGGTTCCAATACTGCCAAAGCCTCTATCCGCTTCTCAGACCCCAGCATTGCCTGTTCTGCGTGAGCTGCGACAGGAGGATTAGCCTGTTCTACGGGCTCAAATATAGGCGGATTGGTTGAAACTCCCGCAGAGGCTGCTGCCTGTTCCACTAGTTCTGAAAC